CCTCTAGCCAGGGTCAACCCACCACAAAAATGCACTTCCATTTGAAAGCATTTTTTCTTTAAGTGATGAGATGGACAAAATTTCACACACCGTGACAAAAAAAAAGACAGACGACTTGAGGATCATGTTGACTAGCTCCAGGGCTGAACATGCAAAAGGTTGGCATATAACAGCACAGAAATGTATATGGAACAGACATCATCACTGACATCATTAGTGAAGCCATAGGACTTACAATGAAAAATTTAAATTACTGTCAGTTAGATGGGAAGTATGTCAAAGACAAGAGAGAGGTTAAAGGACTGTCAATATGTATTTTCAAATCTAAAGCTAATGCCTATCACCTTAAAATAATAGCTGATAAGAGTACACTGTTTCTCCCTCCCACCCATGAATATCCATAAAATTAAAAAAAAAAATCTAGGTAAATTGCAACAAGAAAAAAATAAATGCAAAAATAGTGGAGCACTGGAGAGAAGAAGCTCCTAAAACAGTAGCAAATCAAACTTGCACAAAACATCATTTTTTCCTGATCTGCTGTGCTATGCAAAGTAATATTCAGACTAACATTTTTCTTTTGTAAGGATAAAATAAGAAGCCCCTTTGCCCAAGGTAAAAATTTGGCTTTCTTTTACCTGTGAGAGGTTCTGCAGAGAGTTTCTGATAGGACCCTGCGCAGCTGCATCTCCACAGTAGAGGGTGGGTTTATGGCATGAGGTCGATGAGGAAATCCAGCATGCCTTGGAGAGAAGGGACAGCTGAAGGGGGAAAGCAAGGTGCCAAAGGAAGAGCTGGAGATGCTTGGGACACTGTGGGTGCTCAGTGTCCTCACGTGCTCACAGAGCGGTCTGTCCTGCCACTCAGTGGGGAGGGAGTGGAGGGAGCACGTTGACTGGGACATGTGTGCCCGTGTGTGCAGCGGGCAGCTCTGTACCCTGGTGGGACTGGGCTCCTCAGACAGCCTGTTGGGCCCAGTTTGGGGCACTTCTCTTTTGGAGGACAAAGGTGCAATGAACAGCGTAGATTTGCACACTGGCTGGCTGGCAGCTGCCTCACCCTCACTTTTGTCATCTTCAGGCATCGTTTTCTCATCTTCCTCCACACGTGTGTACTTGTAGGTGAAAGAAGGAGGACTGCACAGAGTCTCTTTTCCTGGAGTTAACTGGACATTCACAGAGGACACCACTTTCACTGGATTCAGTAATGCAGCTGGGAGAGACTGAGACCGCCTTAGAGGATAGCCCGATTCAGCAAACCAGAGTCTCTGCTTCCTCAGGAGATCTTTTGACTTAAGCAGAGTACGTCCAGCCCTGGAATCAGAAGATGTGCTGACAATCCTCATCTCAGCTCTTTGCAAGGCAACATGAACCCTGTCCATGGATGATGGGGAGGAGCCTCCACCTTCCAGAGACTCCATCGACTTGAGGATATGGTGCGTGTGGTACTGAGGAAACTCAAACACACTGCTTTCCTCCAGCAGCTCCAATTCTTTTTGCTCACTGGAAATGTCTTCCTCTTTAGAGCTGACTTCTTGGACTGTCTCTGATATATGAGATGACTTGCTTTCTCCTCCTTGATTTTGTTCAGTTTCATAGTCTATAACTTTTCTATCATCAATCCTTCTGTTCTCAGAAGGTGCCCCTACCTTTCGTCTCTCTACTTGAGAGATAATATCCTCTTCATCATCGTCATCATCTTCATCATCATCTTCATCATCATCATCTTCCTCCTCCTCAAACTTATTGAAACAGGACAGTTCTTTGTCTATTGGTGTCTTCTGTTCCTCAGTGTGCGATGTCACGGTTGTCTCGCTGTCACAGCTCTCAGCACTACTTCCCATGCCCTGCAAAGACTCCTGAACCTAGAAAGATTAAGAGCCAGAAAATGGGTGAACATACTGGAGACTCAACTACTGCCTTCTCAGGAGTCAGGCTAAGATTCCAGGTCTATATTTATTGGGCATTGTGGTGGGGAGCAGAAAGAATAATGCAGTTAGAGTGCAAGAAAAACAGTGAAGGAGAACAAAGAAACCATACTATCAGACAGGTTAGAAACATATAGAAGTATGGCAGCAAAAGGAGCTTGGGAAAAAAAAAAGCAGACTGTTTACACATTTCTTTGATTTTACAATAAACTCTTTATTGCCAGAAGAAGTGGCAGCAGAGTAAAAAAAGTAAAAAGAGTAAAATGCTAGTATTTTAGATAGCGATGAAAAAGGCTGAACAGTGTGGAGGTACATGGTATCTCCCGTATGTAAAGGTTCACAGCCAGTGCTGAAACAAAGGGTGGTATTAGGGAATGCATGCAGAGGAGTGAGGAGAACTACAGACCATAGTGAAACTAGTGTCACAGGACAACAATAAGAATGGGAAAACAAGTCTGTCTATACATTCAGCCTGTTTTACATCACAGAACTGTTTGAGACTGAGAATCCCACCTTAGGCTGCTCATCTCTGTTGAAGACTGCATCCAGTACTATTACCCCCATCCTTCCTTCCTTTCTCCTAATACTTCTTCCCCTTTTCATTCTAAATCACAGTTTAAAGCAGAGCTTATAAGGGAGCTTCTAACTTAATAGGCCACAAAAGGCAGGAAAAGTATTTATAATAAAGGAAAAAAAAAAAAAGAGATCTATGGATTGCAAAGCATATTCCTTAGGCTGGCCTGATTGACTGGTAGATTTACAAGTGGACAAGATATTTTCCATAAGATACATGGTATAAAGTACACTCTTGGAAGTTTACCATAGTTGATGCATGAACTAGAAATTTAGAGCAGCTTTCCCCATCTCTAGTTTCTGCAGCTTTCACTGCCGTTAGGATTCTAGCTATTAATTCCTTCAAGACAGATTACTCACGATGTACGTCAGGCAATAAGTCATCTCTGCAAGTACGCACTTAACATTGCACTCACTGGCACAGTCACAAATTAGTACAAAAGATTGTGCAGGTTCAGATACTATTCAAGTCACAGGTACTAAAAGAACAAAAAGCTGTAATGTCTAGGTGAAATGAGGTGTGCTATATGTGCGTGTCTATAATCCTCCATCACATTGTTCACTTACAAGGCAGGCAAGCAAAACTTCAAGAACTTGGATGGAGAATTCTTCTAGCTTCTTTGGTACCATGAAACTCCTCTGCAGAATATCCCATCTCAATACCAAAATCTTAATTAGAAATCTTTATTATGGATGTCAAGGATCAGAGGTAATATGGTTCCAGTTTTAGAGTCTCCTCCCGAGTTTCAGAGGAATGCTATGGTTGCTAGAGTCAATTATTTAACAGTAGATGGCACTAACTTACCATACTTTTAAGAAACAATATTATACCCCTCTGTATCCCCTTCATCTTTTCACAGGTTCTCTTCACTAACTGCCAAGCACTCATTTTCCCTAGTCTCATCATTCACCCGTATTTTCTGAATTCAGGTCAGCACTTGGTCTGAATAAAGCAGTGAAGGTGGCAGAAGATAGCCTAGCAACTCCACGGCACAAACCTCGTGCAGTCTCAATACATCTTTTCAAAACAGCATAAAAGAAAGCAGCAAAATCTCATCCCTTTACAGCCAATACAAATCAACTCCACCAGTCTTCCAGTGAAGGGGCACTTAGTTGCAACATGCTTTTAATAAACTCCTAATCAGGTTGCAATCAATATAAGGATCAGTAGCGAGCAACTCTAATCTGAGTCACCTTCTAACATGCCTGTCCACTTCAGTGCAGTCTCAATTTAGTAGCGAGCAGAACCAGTACCTGAAACTATTATGCTCATTATAGAGACTTAAGCTCATGATTTCCTTTATTCACTCTCTTGCTCTTGGAAAGTGTAAGCTGATGTTTAAGGGAGACACAAAGACTAGCACTGCCTTGGCTTTCATTTTGGTACTCAGCTGAAAAAGTACTAAACTGGAAAGCCCAGAATACCAGTACCAAAATGGAAAAGCAATGTTGATAGATGGGGAGGGTGGGAACCTCTTCCTAGGAAGTACCAAACAGCTTTTAAAATGTTTGGTGTGTCACAAGGAAAAAACATACAGTAGCATAAAAAAAGTTCAGCAGCTGCAAGCCACAGAATTGAAATTACTAGTGATACCCAGAATACCATCTTTGTATTCCTCCCAACTACGGTTTAGGTCCCAGCTAACCAATGGCCTTGAGGCAGGGATCCAACTCAAATAGTTTTCTCTAGCTGACTGACAGGCCAACCAAAGCATGGCTGTTACTGCGTGAATGTTTTAGGAGAGGCAAGAGAACACTACTCCCAAATATCAGGTACAATGCTGAGCAAACGTGTATTGGGCAGTCATCTAAACACCATGCTGGAACAAAAGCCTCCCCTAAGACATACGGTCTCTGGTCAGTATCACAACAAGTTCTGGGACGGTGATCAAAGGAACTGGAACAAGAAAGAGCGTGGGAGTTCAAGATCAACTAAACATTAGTATACCTTCACAGTAAAGTTAGTATGAAACTGTTTTCACTTTCTGTCAGCTGCTAACTGAAAAAAAAATGAATAGAAAAATATGAAAAAAAAAAAAGAGTGCGAAGGAAAAAATTATACAAGACATGAAATGATCAGCAAAAAAGCTATAAACTTTCATAACCTTAATCTCTACCCACTGCAGTCATTGCAGTAATGGACTATGATTCTGAAGCCTCAGTTGGTGAGAAAAGATACACCAGAAACAGCAAACAGGGCATACTGAATTTAGAGCTTATTCCAGGCCCAAGTATACCCCGATTATCCTACCAGAAATGCTTTCAAATTTTAACACAGTTCTGTAAGGGACTCAGCAGGTCAAGTTCTAAAAATTATAAGTTTCATAGGATCTAGACTGATGGTCACGATACCAGTCAAACAATCAACATCCCCCCTGCCCTCTCCAGGTCCCTACCGTCCCACAAGAATTGGGAATATTTCAACCACAGTATGGGAACCTTACCTGAAGCTGATTAAATGGAGAACAATCTGTGGAGGAGTCCTCAGCAAAGCCGCTGCTGTCAGAGTGCTGACTCGCAGTCCGTAACAGCTGATCTGTTAAAAACAAGCAAAACCCAACCGTAATTAATTTACAAATCACAACCCTTCAAGCCCAATCACATCCAATACGCACTTTCCTTTTACATCAAAGTAACATTAAGTGGATAACACAATTCCTTTTCAAGTTCCACTTTGAACAATACAGAGAAACAGCTTGATTGTTTCAAGCAAAACCTCTTCTCATGCAAAGCCCTACTTGGGAAACTCCAAGCACTGGTAGAAGAGGAACCATTTTTTACATTTTTCTTTCCTATACTGTGGAAAAAACCCCACTCTGCAGATGCTGCCACTGCTGGAGTTTTCCTTCCACAAAACTGGATCACTAGTTAATTCACATGCTGGCAGTGGAATGGTTGTTTTGTATTGACACGTACAGATTCGATTTGCCACCCCTCCTGATCACAGAGATAAAGGAGATCACTCGTCTCCTGCCAGCCTACACCACCCATACGCCCAGAGGAACAGCATCACATGAGCAGAGAGGGTGATGCACAGGACTCTAGAGAACTGCTAGAGATAGTCCTCCACTGGTTTGGCAGACAAATACAAAATATCTCTGACACATCAACGGGCAACCTGCCAAAGCACATTCCCTGTACTCATTTTATACAAAAAAGATAAGATCCTCCTGCTTGTTCCTTTCTACTTACATTAGTAAGTGTTAAAATAGCCTAAAGAGACTCTAAAATCCTCAGTGCTCCTCTGCACCAGGAGCACTTTCCTCCGGTGCAGACTCTATAGCCAAAAAGCTGCTTTTCAAGAAGATCTCAGTTGCTCTGCACTACAGTATCGCATGTGTACTGCTCCCTGCTAGACACATGAGGCACACAGCAGGTATGGGGTTTACTTCACAGCACAACAAACATTTTTCTTAGCAAGATGGCAGCCTGGGCAACAACTGTATCTCACCTCTAGTTCACAGCAGAAGTGTAAAAGCCTGAAGATGGGATGAGACTGCAGTAGCCTCTAGCCCCCAGACCCCTGCCACCGCCTCCTCCTCACTCTGGGGTGAGAGCTAACTGCTGTCTTCTCAGAGGCTCAATGCACAATTTTGCCCCACATTCCTTCAACCACTTAACTGTCATCATATAATTAATCCCAGTTCACAGCTCAATGCATTGGAATGCATTATGAAAACTGTTTTGAAACTGTTGGATACTCAGAACTAATTGTTTTTAGTATTAAATTTGATGAACATTTCACTAATGCAGAAATAAAAGCCTGCACAGGCCCAGAAGCTTGTGAACACCAGAAGAGGCAAACTGCCCACTAAACTTCTGTATCAGCAATTTCACACAGCTTTTAGGGAGTGCCTTTCAAATTCTGCTGCTGTTCTGTTATCATGGTAGCCACAATATCCTGCGATGATAAACAAGTTTTCTACCTCAAGACAGACATCTCCACCCAGCTCCCAGTAAAGACAATGGAAATTACTTCCCTGAGAACTGCACTAGCTCTTATTAACTGCCTGATACAACTAAAACAGCTGAAAGAGCATGCCGTGAACAGGTTGCCACTACAGCTGAGGCTAGTGGGAAGCTGCCATCTCCTCCGAGGTGAACAGTCACCTACTTTGGCCTCCTGTCTGCCTCTTTTAATATTTGGTGAATTTTAATTTAAAAAGAAAAAGTAAACCTAGTGAAAGCCTTAGCCATAGGGGAGAGATTCCAACTAGTTCAGATAAAGCAATTCGCCAGTGCATGTGCTAGCACCTGGTTTCACATGCATGAAATGTATTATTGCTCAAAAAATACTGATCTGCCCTTCTGTTTCCTCCTCAGTCAGTATTTCCTTTTCAGCTATTAAAAAAAAAAAAATCTCCTCAAATCAATTCTTAGTCTCCTCAGAGACACAGTACTAAAGTAAAAATCAGTGTTTCAGATAATTTTCTATAGCATTTGTTATTTATGCACATGCTTTGACAGCCTTACATGACAGATACTGCCAGTCAAGTGGTCAGTCTCGAGCAGAGGCACTCATACGTGTCTCACCATCTTTATCTATGGCAAGAGACTAGCACAGCATGAACAGATTCAAACTGCCTTGGTTCCACCTAAGGAGACATCCTCTTAATACAGTCATCCCTTGCTTTCTGTATTGCAGAGCTGCTAGGATTCTTTTTGAACATTTTAAAGCAAATCAGAGAAGACAGTTTTTCTAATTATAAGTAGTCTTCTACTACCATAATCTACCCTTGTCTCTTGCAAGTTCTCAGAGTTCTCCACTATACCACTATTAAGTAAGTTCAGTAAAAACTTTTAAAGAACAGGAATCTCTACTACTTCAGTAGTGAAATCACAAGGTTTGCCTCTGTAAAGACTGGAAATACCAACTAGAACATTTGGATACACTGATAATGGTAACCACCCTCCTTGTCAACTACTGATCCCGATGTACAACCTGCTCTATGGTATGTCCCTCAGATTCAAGCAGACAAGGGGACAACAAGAAAATATTTTTTTTAAAGCTAAAGAGTTACATTCAGATCTTGATTAAAATGCCTCCTAGCAACAGAGACTCTTAAGAGAAGGAGGTTTGTGATGAGATATTACTCTCCTCTCTTCACCCTGAATGCAGAAAACTCAGCAGCAAAGGCTGGGTTGTAGGTCCTAACCTGGGATCATCCCTTGTCCTGCATACCCCCACTAAGGCAACTCTACCTTCCACAAAAAGGTCACCACATGATGCTGGCCCTGCAACCCAAAGCTATTATCAACACTAAGTGGGGGAAATCTACTGAACTACTGGGAAAAGGACAGATGCAGCATAATAACGAAAGTGTGGGAAAAGGAACCAGCCAAGGTGAACAAATCCAGAAGAAACAATCAAACTCACATCCCAGTTAAACAGAGCACAAATGAAAATGCTCCTTGGATTATTGTTTTAAGCTGTATATAAATATATATATATATGTTTAGGCATTGAATACATGCCAGAGAAATGTGGGTGTTCAGAAACATATCAAATAAGCTGACAAAGTTCTAAACAAGAACAGATGATGAAGAAAGAAGTCTGCAGTTTACAAAATATGAGAGCACAGATTTATCAGAGAATCACTATCAAATAATGGAACAATTCATCTATTGTAAAATAATATTCAGCTACCAATGGACTGTCAGTCTCACCAATCCAAACAGTCCCAGCAGGTAGTTGTCTTACACTTTCTGCATCACTCGACTGCTCACACAAAAGGAGGAGAAATATGTAGAAACTGCTTGTGAAGCTTTAGTAACATCTATGTTTCTTCTACCTGAAGTATTGGCAAAGCTCTAATGCACTTTGTATTTCACAAGATTATGAATAAATTAACATTCCCAATTTAGCTATGAAGTATTCCATTATGGGATTAAATATCTGCTGCCCCTTTCTCCTATACTGATCGCACTCTGCACCCCAGCACTGCCAAAACCAGCCCAGCAGGAGCTGCAGAAACGCTTTCAAGCCCCTGAGGAGCTCCTAGCTTCTGGACAGATAGGCACAGACTCCCACGAATGCAAAATCTGTTCCATATGTTTTCTTCCCAATCCTCCATCTGCAATCTCCTGTAGAGCTGCATCCACAGAGAACTATAAATACAATAATATATTAAGGACAGGAAGTGCTGATGATGTGCTTTCTTCACTTTTAGGAACTAAATTTTCAAAATTAATCACTGCTTTTGACTATTAATGTCAGATGCTTTAAAAGAAACAGGTTTGTGGCTATTGAAAATTTCACAGAGCCACTGGTGTCAGCAACCACTCACAGTGCCTCTAGAATACTTTGTTCTCTACATGTTGCACCTATATTTGTCCTGCTTGTTGGTCATTTTTGGAATGGAAGGTGCTGCTGTATAAATATGACAGGAAGAATTTTGTTTCCCAACACACAAACCTTCCTTCCAAATAACTTGACAATAAGTTTTTTTTATAGTGGACATTTAGCAGCACTGTGTGTTTACAGTGCGAAGCAACTGAAGCTTTTCGTTCTTCTCTACTGCGTTCCTAAAAAAAAAAACCCAGGCACAAAAAGACATCTACATTTGAGGTTTGCAACAACGAAGAACAGAATGCCAGTTTTGGGCATAATGGATAAACTAGTTCAGTTCAGTACCATTTGGAAGACATAACATAAAAAGTACATCCAGCTAGTCAGTACAATACAGAATTCTTTGTATCCCCTATAAAGTGTTTAACAAAGACAGTACCATAGCAAAACAATAATTTGCAAGCCATTTTGAACATCTAAGCTTACCACTTACAAACAAAGCTAATCTGAAAGGAGAAACATGCTGTAATGGGGAGTCTAAGCAGCAGTAGACTCAGTGTAGTTCAAGTGTATCTTCAGAGTCTCTAGATTATTTCAGTAGAGAAGAGAATCTATTTTTTTAATTCAAATGCTTCTCATCTTATTATAAACCCTCTTCAAATGCCTTCCAAATTGTAAATGTCAGAGAAAGCATCCACAGTCCTCCGTGAGAAGTAAAATGACATTGCAAGGTTTGTAACATTCTGTACTGAACAGCACTACCCCTGCTATTGACACAGAAGCACCCATACAGGAAAAAAAAAAAGGCACAAATTTATTCCTTCAAGGGAAGCATTCATTTGGAACAAATTTTTGTTATTGGAATTTTATGTATGGTAGAGCCAACATGAAGGAAAGAGGTGGGTCGGTATGAGGATCATCAACTGAAATCACATTGCAACAGAAGACTGGTGCTTGAATTTCATAATCTAACCTCAGGAGATTGCTAGTGAGAGTGGTATTTTACATTCAGACACAATGGCCACCATTTTCAGTAAGTGGCAATTAACTTTGGATGCCTTCAAACTTGGTGAGCACCTGCTCTCTAAGAAAAGAGGCCTTTACATTGTCTCATGTTGGAAAACCTGCAAATAAAAATTGACTACTGTTTTTTGATGTTTTGGATAAGTTCTCCACCAAATTCTTTCTCTCTTGGCAATTTTACTGAAACCTGTACAGAACAAAATCCTAAGCTTTCCACTTCTCCACTAGGTGAAATAAAATGTTGCGCTTTCTCTCTTGGCAATTTTACTGAAACCCGTACAGAACAAAATCCACTTCTCCACTAGGTGAAATAAAATGTTGGTCCCATACTAATTTTTCGCAAACTTGCAGGCTTACCATCTACATTGACATCCTCATTATATAAGTCATAGAAAGCTACAGGCAATACTTATATGATAAAAAAAATGTCATTACTAATCTATGCCAAGTGCATTCATGAGCAAGTGGGATATACTAGCTGGGAAACATGACCCAGCATGCCCTGCTTCCACCATACTGAAGACCCATTGCTAGAACTGCTGGTACCTTTCAGGAGGTACACATAGGACCAATTGACTTTTTTTTTTTTTTCCCCCTTGCATGGAGGAAGAAGAGAGTAAGATAGCTACTGGGAACAGAAAAAAAAAATTAGCATTTCAGAAGATGCAAAAATATATATTTCTTCTCCTTGACTGCAGCACCTGGTTCCTTAAGTCACCTTTCTCTGAAAAGCTCTTTCTGAAACTGCTGAGGTTGGGCAAACAAGAGATCTGACCTATAAAGACTGCATCTCTTTATATGTAATCCTGTAAAGCATGTAATCATCAGCTGTAAAATACAGCCAAAGGAGAAATGTTGGGAACAGTTACAGAGGCAGTTTCTGGCAGTCCTTCTTGGTGGCCTCTGTTTGTAAGAGAGGAAGAATAGTGAGTGCAATACTGTGTTGTGCAAAACACTGCTGAACTAATAGCACAAGCTATCCCTAATAACCAGGCATTAACCTTCAGCACATAGTCCAGAGCATTCTCAACCATGTTAATGCAATTCAGCTGACGGTTCACAAGACTGTCAGTTCATTTGTGAAAAGGCAAATACAATGACCTCTGTTTCTTAAGACAGGTTTTTCTGCTTCTCTTTAGCATCTAGAGATACTAGTCATGTATCACCAAGGAGCTGCATTGCAGCTAAGCATCTCACAAAATGCAACAATTTTACTTGCCAACGTTGAGTAAAGTAACAATCACAACATGAACTAAAAGATCAACCTTGTCCCTCTCCCAAGCCGTAAAGTATATAAATAAAAATCTGAGATGAAAGCACAAAGTGAGTCACAAGAGCCAGTGCGCAGTTTGCCATGTGAAGGACTACAATTTCTATGTGGGTGCAGACACTCTAATCTTCTGTGCAGCCAGCTTGCAGAGCAGTAGCGCATAGGAAAAAGCTGGATGTATCATGCAATTTAGGTTTAAAACAATATCATTTCAGTTTAAATGGGTATCTTAAATTACAGGGTCTGCCAGGGGGAAAAAAAAAAAAATCCCATACAATCTGAATTAACATTTCAGTTCCTCTGAGCTATCATCAATGGTACAAAAGTGAAAACAGTCAGTGAGGTTATAGGGCTGTTGTCTTGCCTGTAATTTGGTTGTCACTTTGCAGTAATGTTCTGTGATTTAGCTGAAAATGAAACCCAGATCTTTTTTATTTCAAAAGAGAAAAGAAACTTAAGAAGTTTTAAATATCTGAATCAGCATTTCAGAGAGGGAACGACATTCAGCAGACTGCTGTATCCTGGGAGTAGAAGTCTACTCACCTTTCCTTGACTTGGTCACTGCCAGCTGGTGAGAAGCTTGAACGTGCGGTAGATCCCCCTCAGTACTCTGGATCTATCAGGAAGAGGAGATGAATATTTTGTCAGGCCAACTGGAATATTGTGCTTAAGAATGCCCAAGCTATATACACTGCACATGCAGGGGTTTTATGGGGTTCAGTTTGTTGGTTTGTTTGTTTTTTTAATTTTCCTCCAGTTCAATAGTCTATAATGACTGACGGTTCCTGAACCAAAATTTTCTTTCATCAGCAATGCCCCTGTAGGACAACAATGATCCTTAGGATAGCACCTCTTCCTCACACTACAGGGCTCCCCTCCAGTTACATTCATCGCACAAAAAGACCAGGAAATCACACTCTGTGACACTACTGAGAGTTCTCAGCTCCTCTTTGAAGAAAGACTGAAATAGTTGTGTGAAAACACCTTTGACCACCTTTACACTGCTGTCTTTTCTGTTCAGCACTCTCAGCCCCTCATTTGTATATAAAGAACAAGCAAAACATATTTAGAAAAACATATCAAGAGCTCAGCACATAAGGATTATCGTCTACTGCCCTAACAACTATTTCCCATAAGCCACCAGTCTGCCAAAACAACTCTGACTTTGCCAGAACCTACTCCAGACTGCACCATGCCACTACTCGTGGAAATACTTCTTGAGTCTTCCAGCACAAAAAAAGGAAGATAATGTACTCAGAGCAACACAAATTTCAACTGGGAAACTTAAAACTACATGAAAATTAATCCTATTACTTAATCACTACATGAAACACAGCCTTATTAAGAAAGCAGTTCTCAGACAGCCATTCAAACAATGCAAAGAGTATGCCGAAAATCTCAACAGGGAGGCCTTTGTTTTGTTTAAAAGATAGAATATGTTTTCTGTTTCATGTGTTACGGAAAAAATTCTACTAGTTCACATGCAAGTCTATACACACAAAACCCCCAATCCAACTAGCCCCCAATCCTTCCCTCTAATGGGCTGCCCGCCTAGTTTCAAAATTACAAAACAATGAAATTTTCATCTCCATTTTTGATCAACTGAAAAATGTAAAACCATAATACTAGCAGTTTTAAGCCCAAATTAGCATTTGGCTAAAGAAGAAGCTATACTTGCATTGATATCATGTGTATAGCAGCCACAAGCGTACATTTTCTTAATTACAAGGGTTTTGAGAAGTACTTGGTCTGAACTTTTCACCATTTATAAGTGAACAGCATCAGTCTTGCACAATAAATCAAAAGGCCTCTGTTTATTTAGGAGATGAATGCTGTACCAAAGGGCTAAATGCTTATGTTCTCCAAATGCTGGGAAGCATAGAAGAGGATCATCTTTTAAGTTTAAGAAAAGTATATTTTTAAAAAATAAAAAAATAACTGGGGGGGAAAAAAAAAAAAAAAAAAAAGAACAGCAAGTAATCTTACAGGCCCTTTGATCAGACTGGCCTTCCAGGAAAGGTGTCTTGATTGTGTTAAACCTCCCAGTTTCCGATGGTTAAATTTGCAGCCTCCCAACAGCCAAGCCTCTTCTCCTCTAAATACCCTCCACCTCCCGTCCTTGGCTGGGAGACAGCATCCTGGCTGCGGCTGCAGCACGATGCAGCTCAACCAGCACATAGAAGCACTCCCCTCTCCCTGCCGTCCCTTCAGCCAATATTGATGCTGGTAAACGACCTTCAGGACTGTAACTGGCCACCTCAGGAGCGGGTGTTTGGGGGAAATCCTGCCCTGACTCACTCTCACACTAGCTATCTTCACAGCCACAGACTTCCGAAGGGCGCTCAAATCTCCAAGGCATTCATAAGCATGGAAAGAGCTTCCTTGATATATCTGTCATCTTACGCGTATGAATGCACTCCAAGCCAAGCTGGGAAAACAGAGGGAGGAGTTATTTTCACTGTTTCTAATACAGTTTATTGTTCATTATACCCTGCTTAGAGACGCACAAAAATAAAATCACACTGCCAGGTATTGTTCTAAAGTTTCTTCAACAAAACCCAATCCCTCCCTCTCATGGATCTGAAGGCAGTTGGTACATACATGTTATATTGCGTGAACAAAAATTCACCACAATCTTATCCTACAGCGCACATCTCATGTCGTCTTGCCAAAACAGCTGTGTTTATGCACTGGCATCACTGCAAAGTGTGTCAACCAAAACTTCACAAATACATCGCATTTGGCTCCTGCAGAATTCGACAAGGCTTCTTCATATCATAACCCTTTACAATCCAACTTATTCTGAAGGAAAATTCCATTCCTTGGTTTTTTTCTGTTCTTGGGTTTGGTTTTTTTTCTGTTCTTTTTGGTTTTGGTTTTGTTTTTAATGAGTTGTTTCAAATTTGCCCAAGAGCACCAAAAAACCTGATTTCTTCTCTGGGATATGTGAAAGTAGTCCAGCTATCAAGAATGTCGCAAAATGCACTGCCGTTCAGACCCTTCCCATTGGGCCATCGTAAACATCTGTGCAGCTACACAACAAACTGGATCAAGAAATTTACCCAGCTGAAAACTAAGCCAGGAAAAATTAAAAAATCAAAATACACTGGGTTTCTTCCCCTGCCCTCCCCCACTGGATCAGTCCCTTGTTCTTGTTCAGTAGACAGCCACACAAAATGTAGGCAATGACACAGGCACAAACAAGTGGCAGGAACTACAAGAGGCTGGATTACCTTTTTCTACTTAATGTGTGCCTTCAAGCTACAACATTAGTTGATCTAGAAGAGCCTGTAATGACAATATGACACTAGACATAGTATCTACTAAATCACCACTTCAACATTCGCTGTAAAACTCTGAGGGTTTTCTATTCACTTGCTTTCTTCACTCATTTCACCAATGAAATCACAATCCTTCATTTTAAATGTTTATTTCACATAGACAAAAAAGTTAACTGCTGAACTGTTAACAAGAGCCACTTCAAAATGTGTCCACAAAATAATCTCCTAATTTAAGTCAGATCTTACAATTCAAGGTGTGCATCTCCGCAAAAAAAACTGCATACTTGAATTTGTAGGCTGCTCATTTAGGAGCCTAATAAACAAGGCACCTGCAGGAACCTGGCAATTAAAATCCTTTTGGGGCAATTAAAACCCTTTTGGGACATTTATCAATCAAAAAAATGGATATATGCATTTATGAAGATATTAAAAGACAGCTAGCACAGAATTTGTAACTAAGCCATCAGCAAAGGCACATCAAACAGCGACCTTCAGTGTGCTAATTTCCAGAGAACAAACAAATCAGCATACAGTAGATTAGATTGTCATCAAAACCAAAAGTTGCACAAAATGAGCACCTCACCCTACATGATAGTCCCTTTCCCTTTCATGCAACAACACTCTTGCTCCATCCACAAATTTATCCTTAACTAATATCAATTGATAAACTGAATTTACTTTTAGGCAACAAAAATAATGACTTCCAGTTAGCAATTTAAGCAAAGTAAAAATTTAAAACCAAAGGCTTTTATATATACAAAGTCTAACCTAGACCTATTTCCACAGGAAAAGTTCCTAGCAGTTTTGCCGGTGACTGCAATTACCTGAGCTCAATGAAAAAAAGAATGAGGACTTTCCTGCAGACTCTCAGGAACAACAGCAGCAGCAGCACCAAGTTATTTCATTAAAAGGATCAATAAGAGCAGCCTCCCAAGAAAGAGCAACAACTGTCCTATCACTCAGAGAATTTAAAGTATTCCTGGAGAAAACACTGACAACTACACAGGAGGGAACATTCCTCTGCTGGCAGCCCACAAGTTATGTAAACTGTATGCAAAAACAAAGTCATCTATCTCCACCTACCTCTTCCATCTCAAAGGAGTCCTTCTGCTGCAGCATTAGATTCATTATGGACGGGTTTGCAAGGGGAGCACAGGGCTCTCTACCTGGTGATGCTGCAGGCAGCCTTTGCGTTGAGGTGCTGCTGTTGGATGTACTGGAACTGCTGCTGAGGCTTGGTGAGTCCAAAAGACCAGATTCTTCACAGGGTCTATCCTGAGTGCTTGCCAACCTGCTGTTTTGCACATCTGCTGGAGGCACAGTGCCCTCTTGCTTATCTTCAGTCCCAGCAGGAAGGTTTGCAGGCTTACACACGTCCACAGCATTTGTCTGACTACTGGCTATCTCCTCTTTTACAGTAGCCAAAAAAGAGGGAGAGTCTTTCTTTTTAGAGTATTTTGGTAATTTAGATTCATTTTTAACATCACTTTCCTCACTCCCTGGTTCAGCTGGACTTTTCCCTTTTTCAACAGGTGAAGGAGTTGAGCAGCCAATACCATCAGCTTGCTGCGTGCCACAAAGGTTGAGCTTAGACAAGGTCTTCATTAACCGGCTGGCTGTATTGCTGCGATTTAAAGGGGGAGGGCTGGATGCCTCTTTGCTGGAAGACACTGAATTCATACTACCAATTTTCTGCAAAGGAGTCCCAGAGACTTGAGAATACAAAGAAGAAAAAGCATTGGCCACAGTAGTAAGCACTTCAATCTGACGAAAACGACCTGCACAAGAACAAAACATAAGGCAGAGTTTATGAGGACATTTGCTGTCATCACATCCCAGACCTGTTGATCCATCTCTACACCATGGTTTGAATTCCCAGAGACAGCTTTCTTCATATCTGAAGAGAGAATTTTCATCATAACCTCTGCCCACCCCCAACCCCAAATCTCCTCCTACTTATATCAAGGGTCCAAAAGGTTGACTGAACACTGCTTAGTCCTGTAATGAGTGATACCACACAGTATGAAAAAATGGAAAAAAACTTTTGCAAGACTGTTTGGTAAACGTATGAGAACAGCAAGGAAAGCTTTCACAAAGTGAAAAAGGGACACGGGCACATGAGTGCAAGTTAATTTACAAAGTGCTAGGAAGAAAAGGGTTACTCACATTGCTCTCTCCATCTACAGCTACAAGAGGACATTTCAGCTATGTTCTCATTTCAGGAATACAAGAGGACATTTCAGCTATGTCCTCATTTCAGCAATACTCATTACTGACCTAACAAAGCTCTTGTCCAAGACAATAGAAATACTGTCCCAGATTTCAACATGTACAGAAGTAGGTCGCTGCTGACAGATTTCAAAAATCCCACCCAGATACTGAAGAACACAAGAAAAAGATGGCTATTGCTTTTTGTTCCAGTGCTCTAAAGCTATAACAAAAGACAAGCTTAGGAGCGAGAAGCAAGAATGATACAAACCAGAAGGCAATATATCTTACAGGATGCTTTTCATTTCCCTCCCCCACTATTATATCCTTTCCCCTCACCCCAACACTGATGGTCACCTCTTGCACATTTAAGACCAAGCAAGAGTTTTATTATGCCTTCTGGATGGAATTTGGCCTTTAGACTGTAAAGGGGTTTTGCCAGAACACTAGATATACACCTTCTTCTGAGGTTGTTTACATAGTTCAAAAACTTAAAAATAAACATTGCTTCATAAACATACTTACTTGTTAAAGCAAAATTTGGATTTTCCACTTCCATGCGCTGTATTTGGGCATTCAAAAACACTTTGATATCTATCCCTCTGGCAAATGATGATGAATTAAAAAATCTTGCTGGAATTTTTGAAGCAATATCTGGTTCATCTCTTCCAAATCCGAGGTTATAGAGCACTTCTTCAGGATCTTCCTCATAAAGCTCCAGTAATTCAGAAACACTAGACAAATTAAAAGATGTTTACTATCTACTTGTCTCTTTTTAAGACCCAGTCCCTTCTGTCCAACTGCTAATACAGCCCAGGAGCCAGCTTGGTCTATTGAACTTTTGACTCCTGCAGTTCAGTCTACTGTAGTAAATAATTGTGGAGATCTCTGCATCTGAAGTTTTGGTTCACATCAGCACAGACATCAGCCCAGGTATATACCAGATCAAATCCTATAATTTATAAAGTCAGCCTTTATTCTGCAGAGCTCTGATTGTAAAATGTCATTAAAATTTCAGACGTTTCTAACATTTGGGCCCATTTGTTAGTATTTACTGTAAACCACAACTAAAAACAAATAACGGTTTTTCAAGCAACCAAATGAAAATTCCCTTCTCGGCTACTAAATGCAATAATGCACATAAAATCCAGCCAAGTCCATTTAACTGAGGATCAGAAGTAGTAAGTTTTGCCAGCAAAACACAGCCAAATTCCACTGAACTGTGCCATGACCTTCAAAGCATAGTATTCTTTTACCTTGAAACAGTCGCACTGCTTTTTCCAGACCCGGTGGAGTTCATACTTCTCCCTTTCTGGTGGAACTGCAGCCTCCTCTCCTTTGCCAGAACACCATTGCTGTCAACACAAATGGAGAAGACCCCTTCGATAAACCCCTTTCATTCGGGAACTCGATTCTCCATCTCAGAGGAGAGCTAAGCCTCCAGCGCTGCTGAATTTCTCTTTTCCCCTTCAGTGTTATCTGGTTTATATTAGCCATGTCATTTATTGAAACACAATAACAAGAGTGAACCCTGGGACGCCTCAGTAAAAATGTACGTAGACAGTAAGAATTTGAAGGCAAATGCAAGCTGAATAAACAAATCCCTGTTCTCCCACTGCTGCCCCACCCTCCCCAATCCCACCCTCTTCCAGTTAGGAAGCCTGGCCTCGGGTGAGCTGCCCTGTCTTGCCTTTCCTTGCCCTTCCCCACAACACTGCCTCCTCCAGCAGGACCACCTCTCCATAGCAGGACCACCTCTCCATAGCAGGACCACCGCTCCATGCCTCGGGTACCCAACTTGCCCTCACCCTTGGCTGCCACTCATGCAAGGCTGTGAGCCTCCTTGGCAGCAGCCAGGCATGCTGAAGAGGCTCCAGGCTGGAGGAAATGGAGCAAGACGAGCTCCAACCAAGACTGCCAGCCAGTTTTTTCCCAATCCCAAACTATTTCCTCCCTGCATCTGGAGAAGCCGCCTCAAACGTATTGTTACTGACTATCTCTCTGGGGGACAAACCTTCCCAGGGTGAATTCTACTGTGCAAATCTTTTTACTGTACAAATCCTAACACACACACACAACAGAACAATCACTCAGAAACCAAAGACAGAGGATTCACCCAAAAGTGCATTTACAGGGCCCGGCTCAGGAGGAGTCGCAAGGATGCTGCCCACGTGGGCTGTGCTGGCACTTGCTGAAGGCTCAACAGGGGTTTTAGTCACAGCACATTTTATTTAGAAGCTCTCTCTATAAAGCAGGCTCTCTCAAAGTCTTTTCCCCCCCCAAAGGATATCTGCTCTGAAAGGTAAAACTAATTTTCCCTTGTAATTTGTGAAATGGCAAGGGATCAGTGAGGCAAAGAAGGCAAATCATACCAGGTTACTTAGAAGATTGGGCATTTCTCTGTTTTCTTCCTGCTACCCCAAAATCTACATCAGGTCTGCTGAAAGAATAAAAATCTGCTTTTTTTCCTGCATTTCATAATGACAGTTTCTATGCTATCTGGATTTTCTAAAAAAAAGTAAACTGGTGTGACCAGAAGAGTTTTAGCTGTGAGGTAGCCTCCACAACTTCTACCGCCCCCTCTCCCTCCTGCCCTCCAGTATAAATAGTTCTCTGAAGTAAACAACAACAACAAAAAAAGGATGTTTACCATGTTTCCATTTGGGTATCACTCCGCAGATGATTAGCTGTAGAGAAACAAGAAGTTATACACACATCTCTTCAGACTTACACTTCCTGCAACTGGTATGTAGAAGCAGGCAGCAAGCATGTCTACCAATACTCCCACATAAGTCAAGTTTTTCTCTTCCCATATAAATCTGATTGGCAATTGTTTCTAGCATGCGGCTGATATAAAGACAATCTGGTTTATTCAGGCTCTATTTAAACTAAAATCTCACATGGACACACATTTACATAGTCATTAATCATATTAACTTGAAATTTTACATGTGGTAAACTAGTAATTGTTACATAAACCATTTATTGCTTTGCAACTGAAGAGGTGATTACCAGCTGCAGGGCTGTTCCCGGGCAGGAAGGGGAGGAGGAGAAGACGGCAGGCAAGGATTGCCCCAGTAGAGAAAGTAAAGAACACAACAAAGTAAAGAACACGGCCAGGTACTGAGATTATATTCTTTAGTCATGACAGCAACAGCAGCACAGTCTGCTCTCGAAGTGGGGCAGGGCCCTGGCTGCCCGAGCTGTGGACAACAGCTCAGTGAAGCGTGCAGCACTGATGGCACCAGTGGCTGCACTTGGAGTTGAGAGGGCTCTGGAGGGAGGCTGACCATGGGGTACCAAGCACCTGGTCAGCAGCCTCCAACAGGCAAGTCAGCACTTTCTGCAGCCAGATCAGCCCAGCTCCTCACAGGAACATCCCAGGCAGCATTATTCTTTCAGAAAATCAACACCCTGTCAAGCCAGAGAGTTGAACGCCAGCCTTAAATTATGGGTTCTCCAAAGAGGTGACTCAACATTAACAAACTTGCCCCAGGAGACAGACAAGGAGCATGCATATGCTACAGCAGCCCTTGGAATCAGCTATGAAAAGAGCAAAGTGATGTCAAGCACACTGTGAGGAAAACCCTGCATCTCGACTCGCTGTGCCAGAGGGATACAGTCAGCAGCACAGAGTAAACATGGAAACCTCACAATCTCTCTCTTCTTTTCAGAAGCATCATGAAGAAACACAAATGTATACAAAACAGAGACACCACATCTTTTTTTTTTAATATTCTTGCCTATAACATGAAGGTAAGCTTTTCTATATGGACTAGCTGGTGACTAGTGGGAACAGCTAAACCATGGGTTTTAACAGGTCAGGAGGCAGCTGGGGTTACAGGACCCTGCCCGATGCCCTCCATACCATTCACACAGGGTTCTGGCTTGTATCTGGATTCAGGCAGCCACGGATGCGCAAGGGCAGGCCATTCATACCAGCCTCAAAGGGGCTGTCTGTCTGGCAGGACACGCAGTCCAAGCAGCTCTGTTGTCCCCTTGTTCTTGGACGGGAAACGGAGCCCTGCAGAAACACCCACGTCCTTACCCAGGAAAATCAACCAGCAATTCTAATATTGGGACTTTTGTCATGTGAAAAGGAGGGAAACATCCTTCTGCCTAAATAATGCTAAAGGCTCATAAAAAACATAAATCATTGTGAATTATAAGGAAAAAGGAGGAAAAAAATTGAAAAGAAAGTGACACCATGTTTTAAAATGTACTGACTCTTGTATTATTGGCTAAATGCTCAGAGCTTGGATTATCGTTACAAAGAAACTTTTCCTGTGAAATCTTTGCACTGCAAGCAATCTAGCAAGTGGAAAAGACTGTAAAAAAGAAAATGTAACCCTCATTTACTGCTTCACCATCATTAACAGATCAACTGTTTTCCCTAGAAGTCTTGAATCTAAAAATCCTTCCTCCAGGCCCTGTCCCACTAATTTGACACCACTGGCAAGACTGCTATGAAAAAAAGGGCTTTCTACTACACAAATTCTGACACTTTGCAAAAGCTATAGCTGAAAAAACCCCCAAAACATTAAAAGCTAAAGGGGGAGAGTGGTTTTCCCTTTTTTTTTTCTTTTCTTTTTTTCCACCAAAACCCAATATTGTCTTATATCCTCTATCCTGCAGATAATCCCAGAATCTTATTTGTAAGACTGGTTTTCACTATTTTATTTCAGGATGCTGCTGTAGGAACAGGATCCACAGTTGTTTTGTTTGTTTGCTTATTTATGGACAACTCTAACCCATGATCAACAGAGAGGCTAAAAGTCTTTTTCTAACAAAGAAGTCCACCATAAACAGCCACATCTCCTTCCCCTTAAAAAAGGGAAGAGAAAAAAAAAGGCAAGCAGCTAGCATATATTGTGGCTGATCCAAAAGACTTACTCAGCTTTGGTGCTTTTCATTTTTAAAAGCACTGAGCCCTTACCTTACTGGGTTTGCCTCTTGGCTGACAAAATTTCACTCCTCCTTTCAAGCCTGCACATGCCACTCCCAAGGGATTCAGTGGAAGTGCAGCATGCATGGCTGCCAAGAGTAACCCATGGACAAGAAAAGCAAGTAGGAGAAATCACTTTCTCACAGCCCCAGTGAGTGCTCCAGGCTGTGCTGCCACTGTGGGCATGAAAATGAGAAGGCAGAAGCAAATTCAGGGCTGTCTCTGACCTTCGGGTTAGACCAAAATATTTAACATCAGTGATCGCTTAATAAACTCAAAAAGCAAATATTCCTGCACTTTCCTAAGTGCATCATGCTGGTTTTCTAGTCAGATTTATCAACTGCCTTTGACCAGAAGGGAAATGCCGTCTTTAAAAATAAAAATCAGATGACTGAACTTTTTTTTTTTTTTTTTTTTCTAGAAAAGAGAGTCATAATCCTGACACACCCACCTTCAGCTCCCAGGGATAAGTCATCTTCAAAACTTCCTCCATTTCTCACCAGCATGCCTGAAAAAGTACAGTTAGCAGTTCAACTACTAGAGTGCTGGAGTGTTTTCTTTCCAACAGCTTAACTAAAGATATTAGCAAGACACTTCAGTTGATACAACAGGATATAACCAGACTATATTTACAATCCCTACATTACTCACATTAGAAACACACTAAATGAGAAGTTACATTTCATTACACAGAAAAATAATTTTGAAAGAGAATGACGACAACGCTGCTTTAGTTTTGTTACTCAGAAACATCCCCAAGTCAACATGCAAGCAAATTAATTTCAAGTGGGAACCTGGAGGTACCACCCAAGACATTTGTGCCTTCTGCTGCTACATTATCTATCCTCCAGACGTCTTACCAGGGGGATTCAGAGTCTGAGTCCAGCTTAGGCATTCCCCGCTCTCTCCCTGTACCAGATTAAGAGTTGAAGAGAAGACTCCAGGCACAGCAAGTAATTCCTCTGCACCCTGTCACTACCTGCACATTCTCGCTGTACTTTGAACTTTAATATTCAGACGTGCTCAGATAGTAAAATTTTCAGGTGTGGCAACCAGAGTTATTACAGGCAGGGATTACCTAATGCCCGCCAGCTCAGAGAGGAAATTACAACCTCCCCATTTTGTGCATTTTGGGGGTTTTTTTAGGGCTTACTAAACTTTCCAGAAAGACTTATTCAGGATCTTTTCCCCCTTCTCCATTTTCTTGGGCCCAACTCCTTCACAGTGAGAATAACTCAGCAACGCCAACTAGGCTGCAGTTTGTGCCACTGCTAAAGAGCCAAGGTCTCAGGTGAATGTCCACAACAGCACAGTTCCCAGCAGAATCGATTTCAGTAGGTAAAGCCTTTCCTTACCCTTCAACAGAGGATTGCTTTGCTCATCCAGGGAGGCTCCCAGAGGCGTTCTGAAACCACAAAGAGATTAATACTACTTTAAAAACTTGCTGCTTCATGTCCTTCCTTACAGTGTGTAACAAACTTGTGATAGCAGCAGTTGTCCCTCCCTCCGCCCCCAGAAAGCACAAACATCTGAGGACTGGCAATAACTTCCTAAACAATCCCCAGCCCTCTGAACAAATATGCCTTGTAGGGAAAAATAACAAAACAGGTTAATTATAACTGCAATGCTCAGACACCAGTCAGTGGCAAAGCTTCGGGGTCAGCAGCCCTCTCTTGAGGAAAACCATAGGCTTCTCAACCAAACACTCAGAAAAAATGATCATGGATTTTTGAATGGACTAATTCAATCTCATTTATGTGACAAAAACTGTTGCCATTTTTCTACACATTTAAAACTTCTTGGAGAGAGGCTTGAAAAGCTGTATTTAGGGATCAGGAACAAGGTAAAAATCTTGACAGCTATGTTAGCTGTCACTTGCCAATTGTAATACTTCACAGACTCTTCATGTTGGCTCTTATTTGGATGATCCCTCCTGTTCCTTCTGTCTGAAGGGCAGGGGATTTGCTGAACCTCACAGTGCCCAAAAGGAGCAGTAGCAACCACACAAATGACAGGTCCAGTCCCTCTCTGGGTTCACGCAACAGTCGTTGACATAAGCTGGATGTTTCCACATCTTGTCTCTGAGACATGTTTAAACCAAAGGCTTGTCGCTGTTAAGTAGTGTAGCATTAACTCTCAAAGCTCAAAACAAATTCAGAAATATAATACTCATAAAGAAGGAGAAAGCAGATGATTTATGTGTCTATATTATGTATGTTTCATTTGGGTTTTTAATTAGACAAACACATAACCTGCCCAAAGACCTGAAAGCAAACAGTGCTCTGATACATTTTTGTTTTGGTGCCATGGCCAAATTATGCAAGGGAAGTTTGCATCTGCTTTCTAACAGGCTTTAAACTTCACAACCTTATTTTCTTCCCCCCCCTCTGAAAAGAG